AAGGAAGCTGTATCCTAAATTGTAACTCCGTTCAATGTTATTTGTGGCTTTTATTGGCAAAATTTTTGTCCCTTTACTAAATAATTGTAAAAAAAACATATACAAGATCATCAGTATTATTAAATAGATATAAAAAAAAAAGTCAAATGTCAAAATTTTTTGACAGTTAGAATTTTTTAAACATTTTTTTCATRTTCCTGGTATCTTATCTTACTTGAAAATTTTCTCTGGGGCGCGAGTTCTGGCGCACCCTGTATGTAATATACAGAGTGGTTCTAAATTTAAATGTTTGCGAATTTTAAAACTGGAAACCTCAAATCGGCGCTTATCGGAAACATATCTTGAAATTTTTTCTAGGCTTGATCAAACCTCTTTGATAAAAATCATTGCAGCAAGTCTTACTCTAACTGATAAAAGTTTTGTAACCGAATTTGTTTTGGTTTTATTTGAATTCTCTCAGCCTTTTGAAAAATCTTCCATTTGTTTGAGTTTATCGCTTTTTAGCTGATTACTCGCTATCCTCCTTCCAGTTCAAAGGAAGGAAACGTTGATTGTAAAGACGAATTTCGTGTTTGTAGATTTTTCCGATCTCTGATTGCTTCTCATAGGGGCTTCCCAACTATTTCCTTTCATCACATTCCGCTTTGTGGTAACGTAATGATGGCCGAAATTAATGTTATTTTATAATTAAATTAAAACTCGGGTGCTCCAGTTTGAACAAATTTAATTACATGGAAGGAACACTACAGTTCTGACATTCCGCCAAGTTGCGCTTTCAATATCTGGCTCTAGTGCATGTAGCATACATTTCCTGAAACGTTTAGATAAGATTATACGTTACACATAGTTGACAAGGCCGAATCGATTTTAGCCAAGTGTTCTTCTAATGGCCGGGGTCAAAATCCAAAACTTTTTGATGCTAATTATAGATAGACAACTCGCGACTTTAAAGAGTCATTATTTTGTCGGGATAAATGGAGTCGAGGGGTTTTAAATCTCGATTTATTAAATCCCATCGACGTCGACGTGTCGTAATTGCATCGCAATCGTTAATCGTCGCCGCAACAAAGCGAAATCCTTTCTCCGCCGCATAAAGGATTAAATCGACGGATCTTTTGTACGGTCCTTCAGGAAATCCAACGGCTCACACACGTACACAA